AGGCAGAAGCAGAGAGAGAATGAGGTTTTCCATCTGCTGGTTCACTCCCCAAATGGCCACAACGGCTGGAGATGCTCCAATCCGAAGCCAGGAGTCAGGAGCTTCCTCCAGGTCTCCCACACAAGTAAGTGCAGGAGACCAAGGGCTTGGGCCATCTTCTACTGCTTTCCCATGCCACAGCAGAGAGCTGGATTGGACGTGGAGCAGCCCAGACTCATATGGGACTCATATGGGATGCCAGCACTGTAGGCAACAGCTCTATCTGCTATGCCACAGCACCAGCCCCTGACCCATCAAATTATATAAACTTTAGGTGACATAAAACTGGGCTCTTCCCTGGCTGGGGTCAGCTGGAGAGAGACTCGGAAAAGATGGCGAACCTTCTAGTGGCCTTTCTGGATAGAAATACTGTGTTCTTTGTGCCATAACCCTCTGTCCCCCATAGCTTGTATAGAGTCTTTAGTGAGCAGACATTTTTCACTTCAAAATTGAATAGAGATCAAGGTGAATGTGACTTGGATTAACAGCCACAATTTTAAAGACCTGTGGAGGTAGTGGGAAGGGTTGTATGTGCGGCCACAAGTCCCAGAGACACCTGGCCAATTTTGCTCCATGCATGGAGGCCGGCTGTCCAAGGGATGTTGACAAATTAGGGAAAACCCATGGGAACTCAGCTAGAATGGTAAAGAGTTCGGAGTCAGGTCTTAGAGAAATCTCTCGAGAAACTAGTGATACCATATTGCCGGGACTCCAACATTGAAGAAAAAAAGGCAGGCACTGTTGTTGGAACAGAGCGTGCACAGTTCAGGACAGTCTACTGTCCTAGTCGGCATTTGGGGAGTGAAATAGCAAAAGGGAGCTCTGTCTCTCTGCCTCTCAGAAAGGGGGGGAAGGAGTCCCTGAAAGTTTCCCATAGAACACTGATGACTACAGATACTTCACAAAGGATTTCAGCCCCGTTGTGCAATTGGACTGCATAATCTCTACTTTTTCCTAACTCAGACTTTTGGATCTTACCAGTGCTTGTTCCTGAGGGGTCCAATCAGAGGTTACATTTTGTTTCCACTTGCTCTCTGGATGCCACAAACTCACTGCATCTGGCATTATGGTTTGCATAATGTAGATTGTATAATACTAACACTTACCTAGTTCTTGCCACTTGCCAGTCAGAGTTCCAAGCATGGAATCAGAAGAATCAACTCATGTAATCTTCCAAAATAACCCTCATGAGGTAGATCTTATTATGATCATTCCAGGGTTGTCAAACAGCAAGGTGAAGGTGAAGACAAGTTCACTATTTTGCCCCAAATCACATGGGTTATGTATGGCAGAGCTGGGATCTGAACCCAGGCATGCTGGCTCCAGAGTCCAGTGTCTGTCTGTCTGTTTCTCTCTTTCAAGATTTATTTATTTGCAAGGCAGATTTACAGACAGAGGGAGAGATAGAGAGAGAGATCTTCCCTCTGCTGTTTCACTCCCCAAATGGCTGCAACGCCCAGGGTTGGGCCAGGCTGAAGCCAGGAGCCAGGAGCTTCTTCTGGGTCTCCCACGGGGATGCAGGGGCCCAAGCACTTGGGCCATCTTTCACTGTTTTCCCAGGCCATCAGCAGGGAGCTGCATCAGAAGTGGAGCAGCCGGGACTCAAACCAGTGCTCGTATGGCATGCCGGCGCCACAGGAGGGGGCTTAACCTACTATGCCACAATGCCAGCCCCAAGAGTCCAGCCTCTTAATCAATAGGACACACCTGTCACTTGATAGAGGTGTGTAATTTTCCAGTTGTAAGCACTGAGATCAACATGGTATTTCGGCCTAACTTCTGCCAACTGGGAATTCAGTGGGATGAAACGAAACAAGCTGACCATACAACAGCAAAAGTATGACATATGTAGTCCACATCTGGAAGCCAAAGGCAGGCGGCAATACTGGCACAGCTGCCTCAGGTCTAGAAGGGGTGCTGGTGATGAATGCACACACTTGATCATGGAGTCTTTGCTTTGGAAAGACTCTTTTTTTTTTTTTTTTGACAGGCAGAGTGGACAGTGAGAGAGAGACACAGAGAGAAAGGTCTTCCTTTGCCGTTGGTTCACCCTCCAATGGCCGCCACGGCCAGTGCGCTGCGGCCAGCGCACCGCGCTGATCCGATGGCAGGAGCCAGGAGCCAGGAGCCAGGTGCTTTTCCTGGTCTCCCATGGGGTGCAGGGCCCAAGCACCTGGGCCATCCTCCACTGCACTCCCTGGCCACAGCAGAGAGCTGGCCTGGAAGAGGGGCAACCGGGACAGAATCTGGCGCCCCAACCGGGACTAGAACCCGGTGTGCCGGCGCCACTAGGCGGAGGATTAGCCTAGTGAGCCGCGGCGCTGGCCTGGAAAGACTCTTAAAGAGCAACCAGCCTCTCCACTTGCTTGTTGGCACCAATGCACGCCGTATGGAAGCGGGTGGGATGCTTCCCTATCTGGACCTCTTCACTGCTCCCCTAACCTTGAGTCTGAGTTGTAGTCAAGTGGGTGCCTGCCCCCCAGCCTTTTCCTGGTAGAATGGGTCTGGGAGCAGGTTCAGGGCAGGGATCCCTCCTGCAGGGCCTTCTTGCTTCTGCTTGTGCAACACCAAATTCATCAGTGTCCTGGCCCTACATCTTGGTGGTAAACATCTCGCCTGGGATCTCATTTGCATTCCAACCCAATGAGATTAAATCTTCCTGGACAGCATTAGTTAATTTTTTTAAACAGCTAACTAATTTTTTGTTGGATTTTTATAGCTCCTGCAATGTAATTAATAAATGACGTTCAGGCAGCAAAACTGGCCTCTGCTGCTAATTAGCTCTGCCCTGAAAGGTATAAATCATTTTTAAAAATTATTATTACTAAATGTACTGCTTATGATAAGTAAATTATCCAAGCTCTTTGACGTAGAGAAAACCAGGGGTGGGGGTGGGGGAGGGATGTTTGCCTGCAGCTGGCAGCTCTCCTTTCTCCAGGCCCTGGCCTTGTGGGGCTGGTTGGACTGAGGTTCCCTCTGCACAGTCGCCAACTGGGTCCTCCTACCCCCAGCTGGACTTTAGTTTGTTAAGATTTATGTGAAAGGCAGGGTGATAGAGAAGGGGAGAGATCTCCCATCCGCTGGTTGCCTCCCCAGATGCCTGCAACAGCCAGAACTGGGCCAGGCCAAAGTCAAGAGCCAGGAACTCTATCTAGGTTTCCCACGTGGGTGGCAGGATCCCAAGTACTTGCACCATCATCTGTTGCCTCTTAGGTGCACTAGCAGGAAGCAGAAAGGGAAGTGGCAGGGACCAAAACCAGGGTTGGCTATGGGATGCATTAGTCCCAAGTCGGGGGGTGGCTGGACCAGCATTGCCACAGCTCCAGCAGGGGGCTGGCAGGGGCTGGGGACTACACAGCTGGACTTTAGCTGGGCCGCTCCTCCTCCAGCCCAGCTGCCCTCTCAGCTGCCAGGGGTGTCACGTGGGCCGATGAGCTCATGTGTGTGAAGGCCTCTGTCAACTGCAAGGCACCAGTGAATGCCAATTATTACTGCTGTTATTCTTATCATCCTCCAGGGAAACCCTGTGCCCGCCGAGGCACCACCCCCGCGGGCGGAGGTTCCTCGCAGCCCCTGCTTAGGGGGAGAGGTGTTAGGGCTACCTCCGCCCCTCCCCTCTATAATGGCTTTCCCAGTTCTTCCTGGCTTCGGGGGGCCTTCCTCGGGAAGGAAATCTCCTCCGTTCCAGTGAAAGTTCTCCACCAAGCAGCTTCAAACCATCGACTCCTTGGGCCTCTGCTCACGCGCACAGGCCGACCGTCCCCTCCCAGTGCCCGCCGTGGAGCCAGGCTGCCCCGGAAGGATCTGACCCGCAGTTTCCGACCATTGTCTCGCTCACTCGCCAGGGTTCCTCGGTCATCCAACTCCCCACCCACTTCCCTGCCTAACCACACCGCCTCCCCTCCCCAAACCCAAGTCCCTCAGGACCTGCCAGCTCCCCGCCCCATCCAGCTGCGTGGGTCCCACCGTTCTGGGAGGTGTGCAAGCCAACATGGCCACCGGGGCCCACCAGGAAGTTGAGTGTGCTGCGGTTACCAGGGCAACCATTTTTCCCTTCAGCCCTTGCGGCTGTTTTCATTCCCAGCCCGTGCTGGGGAGAAAGACTTGACCACGCAGGCGCCTGCTCCCAATAAATCAATTGAGACTGGGGCCAAAAAAGGGCGGGTAGGGAGCATACAGCTTCCGGAAGAGGAGTGAGCACGATGCAGCCCTTCTTCTCCGGCCAGCCACCACTGGGGCGTCAGGGAGCAGGGCCTTGTCACCTGCACCTCCAGCTCCGGGAACCCACCCCTACCTCCAGGCCCACTTGGCCTGGACTCCAGGAAGAGGCCTGAGGAGGTCAGCCAAGGGGCCTGTCTGCACTTGATGGATAGCCCTGAAGAAATGTCTGGCACTTTCCTTCCCCATGGGGGAGGTGAAGCTGCAGCCACCTCTCCCCCGCATTCCTGCCTGCCTGCCCAGGAAAGGGGTGGGATGGGTGGCTGAGCAGCTGGAGCAGGGCCCCGGGCCCAGCTAGGCAGCACTTAACCTGCTCTCGCTCACGTCTGCACTGACATGTAGGATGGAAGGGCAGGGGACAGTCCCCGAAGCTCCACCTTGTTAGTAAGGAATCCTTAGGCTCCTGCACCCCTCACCAGGCTCTTCCTGTGCTAGCTGTAGTATTCCTATCTCATACCAGCCAGTGGGTAAGATGGCAGGTCCCAAGGTGTGGTCACAGATCCAGGAGACCCCAAGGCTTTCAGGGGACAGATGAGGTCAAAGGACTTTCAATAATAGCGATCTACCTTTGTGAAGTGTTGACATTTGCATCAGAACTGCAGAAACAAAACAATGGGGGCAAAAGCGCTGGTGCCTTGACATAAATCAAGACAGTGGCACCAGACTGGTCATTATGTTCCTCACTCCCACGCTTTGCAAAGGCCAATTTCTCTTTGGAATGTCCCAGATACAGCAGTGCAAGATTATTACTGTGTAATGGGTTTATTATTATCTTAATGAGTTAATAAATAATAAGGATTGAATTTTAACACAGCTAACGTTGGTAGCTAGAGCTCACATACACAACCCTCTCTTTGAGGCCCTGGATGACTGGGTCCTTATGCTGAAACCGTCCAGCCCGTCTGGGCACTTCCTAGGCTGTTACAAGGTCTCCTCAAAGCTCCAGAGCCTGCACTCCCAGCTCGAGGTGGAGGGCGGACGACCTGGTAATTCTCTCCAAGAAGACACTCTCATGGGAGCCAAGGCCTTCATGGTCTCTGCTCACAGCAGAAGCAGGGCCCACAGACCCACAGCCCCCTTCTCCCGTTCTGCAGTGTCCATTGTGGGGTGCGGGGGACAGGGAAGGGAGCAGTGGGTATTTGGGGTTCGTGTGGGCTAGATCAGAAATGGATTCCCCACCCCTTGATTCACCTAGAAGGGTCTCTTTTCATTTCCTCCCCCCAGGGTGGTCCTTTCCCCTCCCAGGCTGGGGGAGGTGACACGGGGAGGGGAGGAGGGCCAGGAATCCATAGCCTAGCCTGGGCCGAGGAGGGTGAGGAGGAAGTGCATGTGTCCACATGGGTGCCAGGAGTGCGACTGTGAGCTCCCAGCTCTCCCGCACCAGTCCTCTCTGAGAGTCCTCTCTGAGGTCGTATCTGATGTGTCCGCCGGAGTCAGCACACCTGAGCTGTTCAGACCACTTCTCCGATCCCTGGGCAATGGTGGAGCTGCTGGGGGTGAGGCTGAGGCTTGGCGCCTCTGTCACCCCGGCACGGGGCAGGGAGGTGTGGAGGACAGGAGGGCAGGAGGGCAGGAGGGCAGGAGGTCAGCCTCGGGTGCTGCTCCCCCGCTCCCCTAGGAGCCAGTAGGTCCGAACCTTGCCTTTGCCCTGGAGGGAGAAAGAAGAGGATGCTGGGGTGGGGACGGCAAGCGAGGCCCAGGCGGGAGTGATGTTACCCACTCTGGGGCCCCCAGGGGTGCTGGGGCAGGGGCTTCGTTCCCTACCTTCATTTCTACATCCCCTCGAAGCTCCAGCTCGAAACCCTCAAACTCCTCGAGGACAGCCTTGGTCTCGGAAGACAAGTGGATCTTCAGGGCTGGGGAGCACGGAGCGGGAAGGTGAGGGGTGTGGAGACGGGAGCAGGGGCTGTGGGGTCAACAGATGTTCTCCCTCCCTCCCTTGGCCCAGGAAGCCTTCTAAACTCAAAGAAGTACAGCTCCTCCATGTCGTGTGTGTGCCCACAACAGCATCTCCTTCACAACTCTACAGGTGCATCGTTTGCCTCCTTCAATTAAATTAAAATTAAGGATACGTAGGGCCAGCATTGTAGTGAACTGGGTTAGTCCACTGCCTGCAATGCTGACATCTCATGAGAATGAATTCAAGTTCAGGCTGCTCCCTTTACCATCCAGCTCCCTGCTAATACACCTAGGAAAGCAGCAGAAGATGGTTCAAGTGCTTGGGCCCCTGCCACCCAGGTGGGAGACCTGGATGGAGTTCCAGGTTCCTGACTCGGGCTTCCTCCTAATGCACACCTTGGAAGGCAGCAGGTGATGGCTCAAATAGTTGGGTCCCTGCTACCCACACGGGATTCCTGGACTGAGTTCCTGGCTCCTGGCTCCATCCCTGGCCCAGCCCCAGCCACGTAGGCATTGGTGTGGAGGGAACCAGTGGATGGGAGTGCTCTCTCTGCACCTCTCAAATAAATAAAAGATAAAGTAAAAACAAAAACCGCCAAAAGCAACTGAAACCGTCTGGTGTCCTGTGTTGCCAGCATTGTTTGGGCTCTGTGTTTTGTATTTTCACACCCCACCCTGTCTGCGAGACACCCATCTGTGTGTGCAAAGGCGGTATACAGCCCCTTATTGTAAAAGAGGCTTAGCATGAGGTGATTTTGCCCGGAAGTAAGCTGACCTAAGTGGTCTGAGCACGCTGGAGGCGGGGCTGGCTGTGATGCTCACTCAGGTGTTATTAAAGGCCCTTTGACTTGCCCCATATCCCACTTATGACACAACCCCGCGGTGAGCCTGCGAGTATCCATCCTCGCTGTGAGACGGGAACTTGGAAGGAGACGAGGCTGGAGCCGGAACAGGCAGGGGCTGCTGCTCGCTGGCTTTCCCCTGGCCGCCTGCCCTCCCCCGCTCTCTCTGGGAGGGCACTGTACCTTCCCCGTTAGACTCCATTCTTGAGGCCGTGTTGACCGTGTCCCCAAAGAGACAGTAGCGGGGCATCTTCAGCCCTACCACGCCGGCACACACAGGTCCTGGGAGGAGCAAGGGAGGAAGTGGGGCCTGTCGATGAGCGTGTTAAAGGAGATGGGTGGATGCTCCAGGAGAGGCAGGGGGTGGGATATGAGGTCCCGGATCTGCGCAGCCCCAGCCCTTGCAATCCTGCCCCTACCGCCAGGGGCCTCACCTGTGTGGATGCCAATGCGCAAGCGCAGCTGCTCCTGAGGCCGGTGGCGGATGCGGAAGGAGCGCACGGCGTCCAGCAGCGCCAGCGCCATGCGGGCCACCTCGCGGGCGTGGAGCCGCCCATTCCGCACTGGGAGCCCTGACACCACCATGTAGGCATCTCCGATGGTCTCCACCTGTGCGGGCAGCAGAGCCAGCGCTCTCTTCCCTGTGCCTGCGGCCGCACCGCACACACCATCTGCCTGCACCGTGCTCACCCTCCAGCCTGCACTGTTTCCTGGGTCTCCCTGTGCCGCTGTCTGCCCATGTCCCGGGTCTCTTCTCCTAAGACCCCACGTTATTCTGCCTTCCTTGCACCTTCTCTGACCTTGTCTGTCTGTCCCTCCCCCTCCTCACTTACACCCTCACCTTGTACACATCGAAGTTGTCAATGACAGCATCAAAGCAAGTGTACAGGTCATTGAGCAGGGTCACCACCTGGAAGGGAAGAGACGCCGGCCGGGAGTGAGGGGACCCCCCCACTCACCCACCCACCCTGGAGGTCTGGAGGGAAAAGCAGGTGAGGAGGGGCATGGAGATGCGAAGCCAAGCCCACCGGCCTGGTCTGACGCCTGTGGCTGAGCTATGTCTTACCTGCATGGGCGTGCTCTCCGCCGACAGGGCTGTGAACCCCACAATGTCACTAAAGTAGATGGTGACGCTGTCAAAGGCCTCAGCCTGGACTGTCTCCCCGCGCTTCAACTGCTCAGCCACGGAGCTGCGGTGTGAGGGCAGGTGCGGGGTCAGGGAGCGAGGTGGGGCCCCGGGACCGGGACGGGGTACGTGCGCATGCGCACCTGGCGGGGGTGGGGTGTCAGCGGCAGGGACTCACTGCGGCAGAATCTGGTAGAGCAGCGCCTCGGCCTTGCGCTTCTCCTCCAGGTAGGCCTGGGTGCGCTCCTCCACCAGCTCCTCCAGGTTGTTGGCGTACTGTTCCATGCGCGAGAGCAGGTTGTCCAGGATGTTGCTGCTGTTCTCCCTGGGGGGCGGGGGCGGTGAGAGAGGAGCTGCACCCCCCAGAGCTCCCCCACCCAGGTTTAATGTCAGCCCACACAGCTGCAGCAGCGGTTGGCGGCAGGGGTCCCTGGGGAGGGCCAGGGTCTGGAACACAGCAGGATGCGGAGAGCAGGGGAAAGGGTAGGAAGAAAGTTCTGTTCATGTCTGAGGCCCCAGGGTCACACGTGAAGCCTCAGGACACATCAGTAGTTGGTCTTTGTTGGACTTAAGTGCATTAGTAAGAGATAGAGGCAGTGGAGAGGGATGGAGGGAGGGGCACGCAGGCAGCGGAGGGGTGTGTCTGGAACTGAGCCCCAGTGGGCACCATGGGAAGGGGAGTGCATGAGGCTGGGCTGGGAGCTGCTTCGGAGGCCCAGGAGATGTGGCCCGTTTCCTCTGCACGCCACTGCAAAGTCTGGTGGCCAGTGTGTCAGGTGGGTGGAGGAGTGGGGTTTGAGTGGCAGGGCGCTGTGGGGACAGCTGGCCATGCAGTAGGTGTGAGAGGGTTGCCAGGCTGTGGTGGGCTGCAGCGGGCTATGCAGGGGGGAGCTGTGAGTGGGCTCTTTCTGCCCGGTGGCAGGGGGTGGAGGGGAAGTGGAAGTGTGGGATGCACGGCGGCTACCAGTGGCGACCTGTTAAACTTGCGTAGTGTCAGGCGGATCTGCTGGAAGGGTGGCCGCTCCTGGGGGTCCTCGGCCCAGCACCGCTGCATGAGCTGCCCCAGCTCCTCCATGTGGCTCTGCAGGGCCAGGGAGGGCCGGAATGGGGGCTGCTCACCCCGGGTCACACGCTCGATGATCTCTGTATCGTGGGGGAGGGGGCGGCTGAGGGGTGGGGTCCGCCAAGGGTCCAGTGACAGACTGGGGGCAGCCAGCTGGGTCAGGGCAAAGGTGGAGGAGCTGGGCAGGGGACTGGGCACTGGAGGCAGTGGAAGGAAGGTCTGGGGCCGCTTCCAGGGGTCCGTCTCCCTGAGGCTGGGGTTAGTCGAGACCACGGAGGGAACAGTGGAAAGCATGGTCCTCTCACCTTTGGGGCTGAGGTCCAGACCCTCCACGTGGAAGACCCCACTCCGCAGGGCAATCTCTTGAAGGATGATCCCGAAGCTGTAGATGTCACCGGCCTGGGAGCCGCGGGCGGGGGGTGACGCCATTCGCAGCAGCTCGGGCGCTGTCCACAGCTTTTCTGTGGGTCAGAGGTCAGGAGTCACAGAGGGGCAAAGGGGAGAAACAAGAAGCACGTGGCTGGGGCTGATCTGGAGCCATGGCATGGAGAGCTGGAAGAGGCCTCCTCCTTTCCCTAGGGAACAAAGGAAGCCTGCAGTCGGGTGTGGCACGCCCAAGCCCCGCCGCCCTGCTGGGCTGTGCAGGAGTCGAGAGTCGGGGCTCACTGGCGTAGATGGTGTGTCCTTGCTCCGGCTCTGGGTCCCTGAAGCTCTCCAGCCCGTAGTCGGTGATCTTGAGCACAAAGCGCCCGTCTACCACACAGTTGGATGACTTGAGGTTCCCATGGGAGCAGATGGCCCCGTTGTGAAGGAACAGCATCCCCTGGGAGGGGCAGAGGTGTGGGCACGGGTGGGGCCGACACAGTGGCAGAGGAGCAGCCACCTGCCCGCCTCCCCCGGGGGGCCCTCGGGCCTACCTTGACAATGTCATTGGTGAGCGAGTAGCGGAACATCCAGTCCAGGGTGATGCTCTCGTTCTCGAGGATGTCCTGCTGGGCAGCGGGAGTCAGACTGTGCCCTGCAAGCCCCCTGGGAGCAGGAGGAGGGTGCAGGGGGCCTATGGTGAAAGCTGGTACGCTAGGACGCTTTGGAATTACGCCAGTGCCAGCGCCCTCCCCTACTCCTGTTTTACAACTGGGGCTGGTGGGGGTCAGAAGGAGGGAGGGGCTTGCCCCTCAGGCCCAGAGCCAGGGCTTAGGACCCAGGTTTCTTGACACCCGACATCCCTCTCACCTGCAGGCTCCCACGAGGACAGTACTCTGTGAGGATACAGATGTTGGGGGGATCGGTGCAGGCACCCACAAACCTGGTCAGGTGTTCGTTCTGCACATCCCGCATCTGCCGGGTGGGGGCAGCATCAGGGGCCTGACAGGGACCCTCACTCTGTTCATTTTCTGCAGAGCCCTCTCCCAGAATCCGCTGCCCACGCCCTTCTGAAGCGTCCACCCTGCAGGGGTCTCACATACGGCCCTTCTCCCCCGCCCCAGGATCCCCCTGAGCTCCACACTTTCAACCTCTGTGCCCCCCCAACCGGGGGGCAGTCCCCAGGCCACAGCCTCACTCCCCCACATTACATGCTTCAGTTCAAACAGGACTTTGCGTGTCAGCTCAATGCGTTTCCGGTTCACACGTTTCACGGCCACGAGGTTGCCCTGGGCCAGGAACGGAGACGGTCACTGTGCAGAGCCTGGTCCAGTGCCCCTGGAACACCAGTTGCCCACCCTGCACCCAGGACCCTCCCGCAGCCCTCCGCCAGAGCACGCCCCTGCCCCAGGCCTGAGGACCAGGTGCTTCCCTGGGCCCACCTTATAATAGGCTGTCTTGGCAAAGATTTGGAACTGGCCCTCTGTGGTTAGCAAGGATCCGTAGTTGGAGCCTCTCTGAGGAGATGGAGAGCAGAAGGGGAGGTCAGCCCGGCGCCCGGCCTGAGCTCTGGACTTCAGCTCCCCCCATAATCCTCGCTGGACCCTCTCTGCTGTGGCCTGGGAAAGCAGCAGAAGATGGCCCAAGCCCATGGGCCCCTGCACCCATGTGGGAGACCCAGAAGAAGCTCCTGGCTCCTGGCTTCGGATTGGCACAGTTGCGGCCATTGCAGTCATCTGGGGAGTGAACCAGCAGATGGAAGACCACTGTCTGTCTTTCTGTCTGTCTATGTCTCTGCCTCTCTGTAACTCTGCCTTTCAAACAAATAAATATTTTTTAAAAAGTTTTATTTTTGAGCCAGTGTGATGCTGCAGTGAGTTAAGCCACTGCTTGCAACACGGCTGGCATCCCACACAGGAGCGAGAGTTTGCGTCCTGGCTGCTCTCCTTCGGATCCAGCTTTCTGTTAACGCACCTGGGAAGGCAGTGGGCAACGGTCTGAGCACCTGGGCCCCTGCCACCCTTGTGGGACACCAGGATGGGTTTCCTGGCTCCTGGCTTTGGTCCAGCCCAGCCATGGCTGTTGCAACCATTTGGGAAGTGAATCAGTGGATGGAAGATCTCTCCCTCTCTCTCTGTTGCTCTGCCTTTAAACTAAACAAGTAAGTCTTTCCAAAGAAAAGTTTTTTAGGGCTGGCACTGTGGCATAGCAAGATAAGCCATGGCCTGTAATGCTAGCATCCCGTATCAGTGCACTGGCTCAAGTCCCGGCTGCTCTGCTTCTGATCCAGCTCCCTCTAATGTGCCTGGGAAAGCAGAGGAAGATGGCCCAAGTGCCTGGGCTTGTGCTCAGGGAGACCCAAATGAAGCTCCAGGCTCCTGGCTTCAGCCTGGACCAGCTCCAGCTGTTGAGGCCATTTAGGGAAAGAACCAGTGGATCAAGTTCCATCTTTCTCTATGTCATTCTTTATTTTTTCTCTGTGTCATTCTCCCCTTCAAGTAAATAAATAAATATTTATAAAAAGTCTTATTTTATTTTCAACTTGACACATAAAGCATATGTATCATGGGGTGCAATGCGATGTCCTGATATCCTCTGACCTTCGAAAGAGCCCCTCCAGGGGAGACTCTGCAGCTCCCATCATCTCCTAAGTGTCTCAGCAGGAGTACGACTCACTCAGGGTCTCACAGCAGGTCACGGTGCAGCTGGACTGGAACCTGCTCTCTACCTGCCCCCTCAGGCACGGCTCCTGGTACCCAGCTTTCCTCCATCACCTTCCCAACACCCCCAAACACCAGTGAGCTCACCCCGCTCAGGGTCAGTCTGCTGCCTGTGCTCCGGAGGTGCCGCTCCAGGCTGCTCGGCTGCAGGTCCTCCCAGCGCACCCGCCACAGCTCGGAGGCCAGCTCCTTCTCCAGCTGCATTTTCCTGGGGCATGAAGCCTGCGTGTGAGCCCCGAGCCCGGGTGGGGGCGCTCAGCAGCCCCTCCTCAGTGCCAGGGGACCCTGAGCAATGGATGGAGGAATCCTACCCCCTGGGCTGGGGCATCAGGAGACCTGGGTGAAACCTGCCTCGATGGGGGGTCTTGAGGTACTTAGCTCAGTGTCCTGGCTTGGAAACTGAGGGCCTTAACTACTGTAAGAGTGAACGAAACCTGGTGGGTGGGGGTGCCAGGCGCCGGGCGCACGCTCCAGGCGCACACTCCACAGACACTGATCCGCCCGCCCTCCTGGCTTTCCCGTTCGGTAGCCTCCCTTGTCTCTCCACCTTAGCCTCCACTGGAAGGCAGGAGCGGGGGCTCATCCAACTCTGCTGTGCTCTGCGTTCAGCACCTGGGACACAGCTAGCCTCGTCATCCCTCATCGACTACCACGGGCCACCTCCCACCTGGCCGGCGGTGGGAGCAGCAAGGGAACCCAGTGCCCAGGCCTGAGCCCAAGGTCCTGTGATGCCATTTCCCTACTTCTCTGCTCCTTCTTGGCCTCCCAGCCCCCAGCCCACCCTGGCCTCTCCTAACCCTGTCCCCTTTCTCCTCCTTTTCTTTCCTCTGCATCCTGAGGCTGCTGAGTCTCTTCTCCCCATCTTACCAGGCTTTCCCTCTGGGTCCCTGCTACCTCCTCTGTGATTGGTTCTCCAAGTCTCTCTCTCTCTCACATACACACACACACACACCATTCACCCCACCTCCGCCCCGGCCACAGCTCACCTGTATATGAAAAAGGAGACGATGAGAATGCTGAGCAGGGAGATACTGCCCACCACAGCCAGCACCTCCAGGGTGGAAAAGTGGTCTGCAGGAGAGAGGCCGCGTTGCAGCAGGAGAGGTGTGGGTTAGACTGCAGGAGGCAGAAGCTTCTAACAGACAGTGAGGATGAAGGGAAGAGAAAGGCAGGAGCAGTCTTTCCCTGGGAAGCAGTGTGGGAGAGGAGCCCTGCTGGGACTTCCTTTGGGGAAAGGGTGCAGTGCCTCTGGATTGGCTCCGGATCAGAGGCCGGAAGGGAAGGGCCAGTCACCTTGGTTGCAGGCTGGGTCCTCGTTGTCAAAGCCGCATTTGGGGATGTCGGGAGGAGGGTACCCCAGGGGCCAGTACAGTTTGCGCCCTGACACGGCCAGCAGCTCTTGGGAAGTTCCGTTGTAGTTCAGAGCAACCTACAGGGCAGCAGGAGTGGTGGGTGGGCAGCGGCCTGGGCTCAGGGCCCCTGTCTAGTGTAACAGTCTTGCCTCCTGCCTACCCCTTCTCTGTTTCCAGGGCCTGTAGCTGGGTGGTCAACATTTACCCAGCCCCCACTGTGACTGGATACAAGGAGACCTCCTACCCATGCCCAGGGCATTAATGTATAAGGATCTGAAAACTCCTCCAGGGGTTGATAAAGGAAATGCCATACAGAACCCCAGCCCTACACTAGGAGTTTATGATCTTGGTTGCAGCACACAGAAAACAGGAAAAAGGTCCCTCCTCCAGGAAGCCTTCCCTGGATGATCTGCTCCTTGGTGCCTCGATCCCTTCTTGTTCATGGCACGCCTAGAGCTGGGTAATGTGCATTCCTCGTGGCCCCTCGAGGGAGTGGGTCCTGCCTACCACAGGGCCGTGCTGTGCTCCCTCTTCAGACACGAGCTTCACTCAGGGCGATGCCCGGAAATCCTCTCAGCCTGGAGCTGGGTCCTTTTATCCAGGGCTTCTGAGTGTCCAGGTATGGAGGGTAACCGGATAAACACCCACGGGGGCCAGCATTGTGGTGCAACATGTTGAGCCGTCACCTGCGACACCTATATCCCATATGGGCACTGGGTTCAAGTCCCAGCTGCTCTGTTTCCTATCCAGCTCCCTCCCTGCTAATGGCCTGGGAAAGCAGCTGAAAATAGCCCATGTACTTGGACACCCACAACCCACGTGGGAGACCTGGATGGAGTTCCTGGCTCAGCGCTTCAACCTGGTGCAGCTGCAGCCAATGTGGCCATTTGGGGAGTGAACCAGGGATGGAAGATTCTCATTCTCTCTCTCTCTCTCTCTCTCTCTCCCTCCCTCCGTCTCTCCCTCTCTCCCTCTGTAACTCTTTCAAATACATAAACAAATCTTTAAAAAATGAAACAAAACCAATACCCTGGCAGGGCTGGAGATGGGGCAGGGGCGATGACACTCCACCTTCGCCCCGTCTGCTGGGCACACACACTTACCTGGAAGGCCCCAGTCTCAGGGTCCATGTCCCAAAGGGAGAAATCAGTGTCCCGATCTCCATTGCTGTCCATTTTCAGGTATCCCATCACACCTGTGGGCACAGGGGCTGACGGCTGTGCTCCGAGGGGATGGAAGTTCTGGGGTGCCCTACTTCGTCTCTCCAACCCCCATCTTCTGGGACAAGGAACGGCCGCACTGGGGCACTTGGCAGGACTGTCTAGGGGAAGGAGAGGCTGAAGGAAGCTGTGGAGGTCCCTTCCAGAAGGGGGAAGAGAGTGGGGAGCACCTGTGCTGCTGGCCTCCAGCTGGGGCACCCGGGACTTAGCCCCCTGGGCAGTCCATTCCAGCCTCCTCCGGGCCCTGACCTTGGAAGCTTCGGTTCCACATCCGCTGCGTGATGTCCTCCCCATCGGTGACAGTTCCCCCCTGTGCCAGAGTCTCAGCCACTGCCTGGAGGTAGAGAAGGAGCCCATCGTGGAAGGACGCTGGAATGATGTTCACCTGCAGAGACAAGCAGGGTTCGGCTGGGTGCGACGTATGCAGGGCACAAAGCAGGTGCTGAGGGGGAGACAGTGAGGGCTTGGAAGGGCTTGGGAGGAAATGACACCCCCACATCACAGAGATTTACTTACTTAAAAAGATGCCACTGCTCTCTGAATCCTGCCAGGCAGCTAGGCTGAACTTGCCACCCAGCCCTTCCATCACCAAGAGCGACACAGGGGCAACGGGAAGGGAGGAGGGGGACTCGGGGATGCAGAATGCCGAGGGAACGGGACTGGGACTGACAGAGGGCCATGGAGTGGGGGCTGATGGTCCCCGACCCCCTCCTACCAGGCCATCCTCCACGGTGAAGTTGAACTGCTCCAGGGCCAAGTGTTTCAGCTGCGTCAGGAATTCCAAATACTCAGGATTATCTGGCTCTTTATACGTAATGATCTTGGCAGCCTGAGGAAGGGGTCAGAGGAGAAAGGAGAGTTTAGAGCTGACTCCAGGTCCCCCCCAGTACTCTGAGGCCCTAAGCTGGTGCGTTCTGCTTAGCTCACGGTCAACCTGGGCTCTATGGGTGCCTGCCCCTGGGCACGGCATCTGGCCAGATGGCCTCTCCATGTCCTGGCTGGTCTAGAGGACTCGAACGCCCTCCCACCTCGAGCCTGGCTCCTATCGCTTTGTGCTGGCCTGGGAGCTTTCTGCTCCACTTGCCCAGCCCTCTGCCCTCAGTTAGACCGGACACTCACCTGAAAGGCCTGCTGGGCACTGACGTCCCGCCCATCCCCTCTCTCCCAGGGCCTGCGGGCAGCAGGGGCCCCGGCACCTTGCAGGCTCTGCCCAAAGATATCCAGGTGGAAGAAAACATAGTCTTCCCCGCTCAGGCCGGCGTCCAGGGCCAGCAGCATCAGAGTTCGGAAGGCGTCTGGCGAGCTGCAGATGTAGATGACTGGAAGGCAGGGAGTCAGAGAGAGAGAGAGAGAGAGAGAAGCCTGGGTCCCGGGCAGAGAGGCCCAAGGGAGAGCAAGGGCCGGGGTCAGACGTGGGCATGACCGAGCTCAGCAGTGCACAGGGGAGAACCGAGGGAGGGGAGGGAGGAGGAGGAAGGAGCAAAGATAGGGAGAGGGGTTGACCCGAGAGAGGTGGGGCAGGCAGGGCCTAGGGCTGGGGGAGGGAGAGAGGCCAGGAGAGCCCTGGTGCTTGGGAGAAGGTGGAGGAGGGGAGAAGGCTGTGGGGAGGAGAGACAATGGGGGAGAAGGAGCCACCCGACACCCGAAGCGCTCCTAGGTGGTCTGGGCATTGTCTGGCCCCCCTTAACCCCTGCAGGGAGCTGGGGGAGCCAGAGGGCAGGAACCCCAATGGGGGTTCAGGGGTGGAAAGAGACCAGGGAGACCCAGACAGGGGAAAGCAACGCAGCCAGGAGCAGTAAGGGGGGTGGGGAGAGGTCGAAGAGCAGACCCTGGGCCGGGCAGCGCGGCAGAAGGAGGGCGGCTCTCACCTCGGCCTTTGCTCCGCACTGTCCGCAGCAGCAGCGTGTAGTGGTCGCGGTCGCCCTCGGCGAACTCCATGTGGTCTACTGTGATGTTGAGGCGGTCGCGGACCCGCACGTACAGCCCCTCCACCACAAAGAAGCAGGGCTGGTCATCGCCCGGGCGATAGGCGTAGAGTACGAGCGCCCGGCTCTCCCAGCCCAGCCGTCGGTGCAGCGCCGCCACGAAGTCGCCCAGTTTGGCGTGGCTTGGCCCGGAGCGGGTGGTCAGCGCGTACTCGTCCTTGGAGCCGAAGCCCAGCGCCGGGGCGCCGGCCGTCAGCAGCGGCACCCGCCAGTGCGCGGTGAAGCGCCCTACCGGGGCGGCGGCGTACACGCAGCCCGGGCCGAGGAACACGGCGGGCTTGTGCTCCCACTTGAGGTCCACAGCGGCCAGCGGCGCGGCGGTGTCGGAGCAGGCGCCCAGCGCGTTCTCACTGCTGCCCAACACCGTGCGCACCGTCCAGCCGGGCAGCGCGTCCCGCCGCGCCTGCACGCGGGCCAGGGCCAGCTCCACGGCCGGCCCCACGCGCGCCCAAGACCACGGGTACGAGGTGTTGGCCAGCGGCAGCACCACGGCCACGGTCAGGTTTCGCGCGTGGCTGCCCCGGAGCAGCAGCAGCAGGAACAGGAGCAGGCACTGGCGAGCGCCGGTGGAGTGCTGCGGGCCGGGCATGGCCTCAGCGGGCACCGCCGCGGGCGAGCGCTCCCACCATGGCCTCTTCGGTTCTCTCCGGGTCAGCGGCGCGTTCCGGGCATCAGGCGCGCCCGTGAGGGAAGGAACTGGACTGGGGCACGCTGCCCCCTGCAGATGCGACGGTCACGGCCGAACTGTCCCGGGGACTGAGCGCGCGGCGGAGGGGAACAGGGAGGGGGCCGCGGAGCAGGTGGGCGCCAGGAGCAAGCCGGCTGGGCCAACAGGACCCAAGAGCGAGCGGGAGAGCGAGAGAGCGAGAGAGCGAAAGAGGCGTGCGCGGGAGGAAGGGGAGCGCTCGTGGGCGTGCGTGAGCGCCCGCCCGAGGGAGTGCGCCAGAGGGGCGTCCGGCCGGCCCACGTCTCCGGCCACCCGGGGGGGACCGGCGAGGACCCAAGCCAAGCTGCGAACCCTCCCTCCCGCCGCTTCCCCTCCCAGGCTCCGTGACCAGAGAGCCAAGCCTGATCTTTAACTCCTTCCTCCCCACTCCCAGCCCGCGCGCTGCCCGCGTGCCGGCTGCGCCGCGTCTCGCTCCCGGGCGCAGCTGCACCACCGAGGGCGCCCCCGCCGGGCCGGCCGCGAGAACGGAGCGGAATAGGCGTGGAAGCAGCCCGGGGCGGCTGGCGAGCCACCTTGTCCCTGCCCTCCTACCTGGTTCCCTGTGGGGGAAGGGGTTGGGATCTCTGCTGGGGGAGGGGGGGTGTGGCGGGAAGGTGACGGGTGTCTGGACGAGGCGTTAGGAGCAGAGTACGAGCCGCGTGCTCGCCGCCCCGTCGGTCTGTGGTTCTCCTCGCGGTGCGGATTAGCCGGGAAGGACCGGGCGGGAGGGCACAGTTAACTGCAGTTCCCTAGGGACTGTAGGAAGCGGGCCGAGCCGGTGGATGGCCGCGGCCAGGAGTGACTTCTGGGGTGTGTTTGTTTTCACGGGATGAGGATTGTTAAAAAGGATTGGGGGGCTGGCGTTAGGTGCCCGCAGCCCGCGAGGGTCTGGGGGACCCCGACCCCTGGGCGCGGCGCGGCTCTCTGCGGAGTCAGCCTGCCCCCTGGCGGCCGGCTGGAGTCACGGACGTACTCGCGCCCAGATCGGCCAACTCGCGTCCCACCCGGTGTTGCCCGAGGACCTCCCGTGCGTCCAGCCCCGGTGCGGAGGGCAGAGCGACGAGGACATGCGGTCCGCGCCTTTGAGGAGCTCCAGCGGGGCGACTTCCGGGCCAAGCGCCCGCGTCTCTGTTTTTTATCTGATTGCCCGCGATTAAAAACCAGCAGATGCATTTCTGACTTTTCTGAAAATGTTGAAAGCGTTGGCAGTGTGCAAGCAGGCGGCATGACCAGGCACCGGGAACAAACGTCCATCCGCTCCCTCCCATCACGGTTCCCACCGCCCGCGCTTCCCTCAGGTGCCTTACCTGAGGGCTGTAGTGGGAGTCGTGTGTTCTCAACCCTGCTCTAGGAGGTAAGGTAAGGCATGTAGAGTGACGGAGGACAGACACCGAAGAGGGCAGTGGGGGACAGATCCTGGACAGATCATGGCTTTGGGAAAGGGGAGGAGGCATCAGATACTGGGAAAGGAAGACTGTGTACAAATAACTGAGCTCTGGGTAACACTGACCCAAAATTGAAGAAGGAGGATTTTTTTTAAGATTTATTTATTTATTTGAAAGAGATACACAGAGAGATAAGGAGAGGCAGAGAGAGAGAGAGAGAGAGAGATCTCCCATCCGCTGGTTCACTCCCCAGATGGCTGATCTGAAGCCAGGAACCAGGAGCTTCTTCCGGGTCTCCCATGCTGCAGAGACCTAAGGACTTGGGCCATCTTCCACTGCTTTCTCAGGCCATAGCAGAGAGCCGGATCGGAAGTGGAGCAGCCAGGACTTGAACCTGCGTCCATATGGGATGCCAGCACGGCAGGTGGTGGCTTTACCCGCTATGCTACAGCACTGGCCCCAAGAAGGAGGTTTTGGGAGATGACAGTTTGTTTGGTTTGTGTGTAAAAGATTTATTTATTTATTTGACAGAGCTACAGAGGGGCAGGTGTTGGGGTGCAGCAAGTAAAGCCATCGCGTGTGACACTGGCATCCCATAGGGACAGCAGTTCAAGTCCCGACTGCTCCACTTCAGATCCAGCTCCCTGCTATTGGCCTGGGAAAAGCAGTAGAAGCAGTGTTTGGGCCCCTGCCACCCACATGGGAGGCCTGGTTGAAGCTCTGGATCTCCTAGCCAATGCGACCATCTGGGGGAGTAAACCAGCTGATGGAAGACCTCTCTCTCTTTCTCTGTAACTGACTTTCTTTTTTCTTTCTTTCTTTTTTTTGACAGGCAGAGTGGATAGTGAGAGAGAGAGACAGAGAGAAAGGTCTTCCTTTTGCTGTTGGTTCACCCTCCAATGGCCGCCACGGCTGGCCCGCTGCGGCCGGCGCACCGTGCTGATCGGAAGGCAGGAGCCAGGTGCTTCTCCTGGTCTCCCATGGCGAGCAGGGCCCAAGCACTTGGGTCATCCTCCACCGCACTCCTGGGCCACAGCAGAGAGCTGGCCTGGAAGAGGGGCAACCGGGGCAGAATCCGGCACCCCGACCGGGACTAGAACCCGGTGTGTCGGTTCTGCTAGGCAGAGGATTAGCCTATTGAGCCGTGACGCCGGCCATGTAACTGACTTTCAAATACATAATTAAATCTAAAAAAAAAAAAAAGCAACTGATAGGTGTAACAGCAGATTAGTCTTGACTGAGGAGTGAGCATGAATTGGAAGAAAGCACAGAAGAATGTACCTAGAATGAAGTATGGCTATATGGCCATCAGCATGAGAGAGAGAGAGTAAGATACACAGAGGATACCAGGAGAAAGTCTAACTTTTTTTTTTTGGACAGGCAGAGTGGACAGTGAGAGAGAGAGACAGAGAGAAAGGTCTTCCTTTGCCGTTGGTTGGTTCACCCTCCAATGGCCGCCACGGCCGGCGCACCACGCTGATCCGATGGCAGGAGCCAGGTACTTATCCTGGTCTCCCATGTGGGTGCAGGGCCCAAGCACTTGGGCCATCCTCCACTGCCTTCCCGGGCCACAGCAGAGAGCTGGCCTGGAAGAGGGGCAACCGGGACAGAATCCGATGCCCCGACCGGGACTAGAACCCGGTGTGCCAGCGCCGCAAGGCAGAGGATTAGCCTAGTGAGCCGTGGCGCCGGCCGAGTCTAACTTCCTTAGGTAGAATCCAGGAAGGAGGGAAATAATAAAATCAATATTTGAAGAAGTAATAGCCAAGACATTTTTTGGGTAAAGATTTATTTATTTACTTGAAAGACAGATTTACGGAGAGATCTTCCATCTGCTGGTTCACTGCTCAAATGCCTACAACAATTGGGGCTAGGCCAGGCCAAAGCTGGGAGCCTGAAACTCCATTCATGTGAGTGGCAGGGCTCAAGTGCTTGAGTCATCTTCTGCTGTTTTTCCAGGCATGCTGGCAGGAAGCTGGATTGGAAGTGGAGCAGCCAAGATTTGAACTGGCACCCATATGTGATGCTGATATCATAGGCAGAGGCTTAATTCCCCTGTGTCACAATGCTGGACCCAACCAAGAAATTTTTAAAAATGCATCAAAAGGGACAGGTGTTGTGGTGTTGTGGGTTGGGTCGCTGTTTGGGCTGCCTGCAACCCATATCAGAGTGCCTGATTATGGAGTCCCACCTCTGCTTCCAATCCAGCTCCCTGCTAATGAGCCTGTAAGGCAGTGCATGATGGCCCGAGTACTTGGGTTCTTGTCACTCATGTGGGAGACTCTGATGAAGTTCCTGGTTCCCTAATTCTGCCTGGACTAGTCCCAGCTGTTGTAGAAGATCTCTGTCTGTCTCTCTCTCTCTTATTCTCTGTTGTTCTGCCTTTTAAATTAAATAAATAAATGGATCACAGACTTTTTTTTTTTTTTTGAGTGGTAGAGCTACAGACAGAGGGAGAAACAGAGAGAAAGGTCTTCCATCTGCTGGTTCACTCCCCAAATGTCCACAACGGCTGGAGCTGGGATGACCCAAAGTCAGGAGCTGGGATCTTCTTCCAGATCTCCCAAATGGGTGCAGGGGCCCAAGTGCCACTGCTCCCAGGCCATAGCAGAGAGCTGGATCAGAACAGGAGCAGCTAGCTGGGACACCAACAGGCTACCATATGGGATGGCGGTGCTGCAGGCGGAGGCTTAGCCCACCACACCACAGCGCCAGCCCCTGGATCACAGAGGCTAAGTCATAGATTCAAGAAGTTCAACAAACCTCAAGCAAAAACAGAAACAAAGAAATCCAACACTGGACCCATCAGAGTGAAACTGCAGGAAATATGAATCAGAGAGAAAAATCTGGAAGCCTGGTTATGGCTCAGCAGGAGAAGCTTTTGCTCAGGCATCCCACACCAGAGTCCTGGCTGCTCCGCCTCTGATGCAGCGCCCTGTTACTGCGCCTGGGGAGGCAGCCGAGGGTGCCCCAAGCTTGGGCCCCTGCCACCTGTGCGGGAGATCCTGATGGAGTTCCTGGTTCCTGGCTTCCGCCTGGCCCAGTCCTGGCCACAGGAACCCACAGATGGAAGATCTGTCTCCCCGTCTCTCCCTCCTTCTCTCTCTCTCTAACTCTGCCTTTCCATTAAATACATCTTTAAAAAAATTCTGATCTAAAACCAGAGGCTCCGCATCCAGTGAAGTGAAGCCATTCAGACAAGCCGAAAGCAGGCGTGACTGAGCCGCCAGCAGAGCAGAGCGGGACTCTGAGGCAGTGTTACTCCTGCAGGAAGGTTGGAGACGCAGGAAGTATTGTGTATGTGTGTGTGTGTGTGGGGGGGGGTATGAGCGAGCTCCCAGCTACACTTAGTCCTGGTGCGTGCCTTTCCACGTGTAGGAATATAGCCGGACGCAAATGGAGGTGAGCAGAGAGCAGGATTTATTTATTTTTTATTTGACAGGTAGAGTTACAGACAGTGAGAGAGAGAGAGACAGAGAGAAAGGTCTTCCTTCCATTGGTTCACCCCCCCCCCCAAATGGCCGCTAAGGCCGGCGCTGCGCCCATCCGAAGCCAGGAGCCAGGTGCTTCTTCCTGGTCTCCCATGCGGGTGCAGGGCCCAAGCACTTGGGCCATCCTCCACTGCCCTCCCGGGCCACAGCAGAGAGCTGGACTGGAAGAGGAGCAACTGGGACCAGAATTTGATGAGCATATGGAATGCAAGCGCCACAGGCAGAGGATTAACGGCGCTGGCCCCAAGAGAGCAAGATTTATTGAAAGGTGAAGGGATGGCACAGACACGGGTGCAGGCAGCCCACAAAGTTGGAGTTTTCCTTTTTTATGGGGCACAGTTCTATTAAAAAAAAGATTTTTTTTTTAGTAGGAGGTAAAATAGCAAGGTTTATTAGGGAAGGGACATCCGTAAGGATGGATGGGCACCTCTCCAGACAGAGCCTGAGAAGGTGCCCAGTCACTAGGACTGGAGGAGGGGGAGGATCGAGGTTATATGTTGAGTGGAGAGATTACACCTGGCCAGGCAGACGGGCGACTCAGCAGAGAGGCAGAGGGCTGAGCGCTAAAAAAAAAAAAGAGAGATTTATTTAGTTATTTTAAAGTCAGAATTTCAGAGACAGAGCAAGAAAGAGAGGTCTTACATTTACTGGTTCACTCCCCAAATGGTCACAATGGCCAGGGCTGGGCCAGGCCAAAGCCAGGAGCCAGGTGCTTCCTCCAGGTTTCTCACGTGGGTGCAGAGGCCCAAGCACCTGGGCCATCCTCTGATGCTTTCCCAGGCCACAGCAGAGAGCCGGATCGGAAGTGAAGACAGCACTG